GTAGAAACCTAATGAAAGAAATGGACATCTGGACAATAGTGCTTGTAATATCCATGGATCATTTTCTGCTGGACAAAATAAAGACACACAGCGATAAAGTGATTGACTTGGAAACTCATAACACAAATTAATAGTAGAAACCTAATGAAAGAAATGTACATCTGGACAATAGTGCTTGTAATATGCATGGATCATTTTTAGCTGGATAAAAAAAAGGAAAACACAAATCAATAGTGATTGACTTGGAAACTGATAACCATGCACAAAGCACTAAATTCAAACGCCACTCCAAAGCCACTCCAGACACATTATATCTGAAAAAGGAAATAATGTGGCAGAAGTGTCATCAGCATCAAACACTTTGTCTAAATGTCTAAAATGAAATTGCATCAATACGTGCAGCAACGCAATGAGAATATCATTTATACAAAGTGCCTGATATTGTTGGGCAAGAAATGTTTTAAAATGAAAAATGATCACAAAATCCATGAAAAAGATGAAATAGCAAACCACATAATCACTAAATGTAACAAGCTGGCTCTAATATAACATGAAACAGACATATGACATGGCTGTAAATGGTGCTGGAGATTTGAGGAAATTTGACCTAACTCTATCCTTAGCAATATACATCAGATATCAAGTGAGAACATGTATTAAAAAAAATGAATGAATGAATCCCCAAACTCCACTCTCTTAACACATTTCTTCTCACAATAATTTTTTTCTTCTTTTGATAAGCAATAAAAACAATGTTCACACAACAAAAGCAACCATGAAATAATAAAAGTTTTACTAATGTAAAGTACTTTTTTAAAAAAATGAAAATCCTTAGTGTTTAGACACATCAACAAGAATCAATTGAAGACACAATTTTAATAACTGGCTTCTATTTTATATATTATAAACATAACTAACATGACCCAAGCCTAAAATTATGAAAGCCATACTAATTTTGAAAATATAGTGTCAAATATTTCATTCAATATTATCTAAAACTTTTGCTGATTATAGAAGTTAACTTTTGAATAAAACAATCTCAAGTAATATTATGATGCAAAGTTAAATATTATTGTAAGATAATTTACAATTTTTAACACAAGACCACAATACTCAAATACCCAGTGCAGATCATGCTCACTACTCAGTAGTTTTTTTTTTCTGATCAAGAAATGAGCTTTTATTTGGTTAAGTTAAGAAGTTAACTAACCATTACTAAATGCTGAAGAGCCTAGATTATTGGCAAAATTTGTCTAATTTTTAACTGAAAACTAGCAAGGAATGTTTGACTGGAGACAAAAATAAAAATAAAAAAAAACCTAAATAAAGCCTATTTAGTTTTTTTTTATTTTATTTTTATAATATATAGTGTAACCCGGATATAAGAGTCCTGGATATAAGAGAAACCCTGATATAAGAGAGATTTTCTCTGTTCCCAAATTAGAGCCTGTGTTACCTAAACAAAATAGACCAAACCCGGATATAAGAGAAACCCAGATATAAGAGAAACCCGGATATAAGAAAAACCCGGATATAAGAGAAACCCAGATATAAGAGACTTCTTCTCCGGTCCTGACAACTCTCTTATATCCAGGTTACACTGTATAATATTTATATCTGATAAAAAAGTTTAGTGTCAAAATTTATGACATTTTATAGAAGAAAATTCAGTGTGTTAATTTTTTCCTAAACTATTTACATTAATAAAAAAATTAAACTTTTCTTAAACTTCTTATTAAAACTAATATTTTCAACCAGAAAGTCAGTAACAGCAATAAACTGAAAAAAGTATATTTTATAAAAAAACATTTTGTTAGATCCAAAGTGTTAATATAATGGGAATTTTTGTGGAGGCAAATAGAAACTAATGTTGTAATGTGTCATAACTGTAAACAAAAACAAATGTTCTGAAATGTTTAGTGATCGAAGACAAACTGGCTTCGATCACTTAACACACATGTGTTACCCCTGGACTTTGTTTAGTATTACTTAAACATAGCAATCAATGTAAAATTCATTTTACAATGCCCTATATTTGGAAATATAAAGTATTCAGGAAATTCGAACAGTATGTATGAATTGAAAATAATATGAACTTTTTCTTGGTACATAGATAATTTCCCGTCCATCAGGGTTATGGACATGTGCATACTGGGGGTTGGCATCTAGAAGCTGCACTTGATCCACCAATTGTTCATTGTTATATTTGTAGGTAGGATGGATGAACAATAGAAAGAAAGTTGTGTAATATGCTAGTTACTGAAGAAAGATGACTAAATTTCTTAAATATATTTAGTTATGACTATGACCTTAATCATTTTGGGGGATCTGCATATGCTTTAGTGTTGGATTATAATATCAAAATCTTCTACAGGATCATTGCTACTCCTTGTTCTGTCACTAAAAAAAAAAAGAAAATGAATGATAAAAGACACAAAGGAGTTCGGGTTCATGCCTTTTCAAAGACATTTAACTTGAAATGATGGTAGAATTCTACAACCAGATCAGAGATTATTTTACGATTATTCTGTTTTCAAAATTGTTCCGTAATTTGAGTAAATTCAATTTTTAATAAGAAAGCAACTTTTCTTTGTTTTTCTGTATATTTTGACTAATGGAGATTAATTAATTATAATTTGTTTGATCTTTTTTTCTTTTTTGTTCTATGAAAAGGTATGCATACCATTAATGACAAATATTTGAATATTAACCATCAAAGCAACAAGAATTAATCTAACAGTTGATGAATATGAATTCAGAAAAAAGATGCAGAGTGAAGTTAGGTCACTCCCTGGCCACCAGCTGACCCTCAACTTTGGATAGTTTCCAAAAAACTATAGCAAGTTGTTTCACAGACCATAAAAATAGGGCAATGAACCTTACAACTCCAGTTTTTCTTCATTTTACTGAATAAAAAGATAGGAAAGATATGTTGTCCATTTTAAAGGTGGTTTGTTATTCACTAGTTCATATTTAATATGGACATAGTAGTCAAGCTTGTTCAAATAGGATGTTTCTTAACCTAATTCTATGTTAGTATGTTTAGTAGAATTGTTCTAGACAAGACATATCGCTTATTAGTAAGCTTTAATATGCTCAGCATATCAGTAGAGTTCTCCTGAATATATGTGTTCAGGACAGATCCATTAATGGTGGGGAGACGGATCATACCACATTCTTCCCCTGCCTTATTTTTACAGAGGGAAGAAGTCCCTGAATCAAACAGGTATCCTTTGTTCTCTGTGAGGCCATGGTGGATTACCTGGAGCTTAGTGAGGTTCTTCCTCTTTTTTGCTAGAACTGAATTATATCCTGTTACATTTTTGTAATCCTCTATGAGTGACTTGCACATACTATGACGCATCAGTAGGTGGGTGGGCTCTCTTCTGTGGAATCTGTTTGTAACTATTTGAGGGACCAGAGTTCAATGGTTCCTCATAACCTTCTTAAAGAGACCATGTTTCTGTTCTTTTGTAGTCAGTTAAAGTGTCCTAAGGAGACTTCTCGCTTAGGCTTGTGGGTCCCATTTCATCCCCCTACTGAAGCCAAGTCCCTTAGTGAGACTGTGTCTTCCCTTCCATCAGGGTTATGGACATGTGCATACTGGGGGTTGGCATCTAGAAGCTCCACTTGATCCACCAGTGGTTCATTGTTATTCAGTAGCATGTGTCTTTAGTAATATCAAATCCACTTTCAAGAGCCAAGATGGTAGGAATGCTCCAGTCGAACTTCTAGGAAACAGTAGGAATCATTCATGGGGTGCTATGTTAGTGATGGTGCATAGCAGCATTCTAATTGTATGTGGGACATCTGGGATTAGTTGTTCCCAATTCTTTAAAGTTACCCCCTTTAACAGCAGCTGCGAGTTGAACAGTTTTCCAAATTATTCCATTATGCCTCTCACACTGGCCATTACCTTGAGGGTTATATGGGGCTGTTCTACTTACGACTACTCCTTGCTCATGTAGGAATCACCATACATATTTAGACATAGATGAAAACCTTCTGTCTGAATTAATAATATATGTGGGTAGCTTGAAGACAACAAAAACTGAGCAAAGTGCTTGTATGACCATTGTAAAGGATTCATCAGGGCAGGATATTGCAAAAGGAACCTGCAAATATTAATCAGTTATTGTCAGTATATATTGGTTATGTGTTTTTGACAGAAGCAGTCCTTTAAAATCCAGTGTGATTCTTTCATAGGGTTGATTGGCTTTTATGACCTTGCTGCTGTTAGGACAGTAAGATATAGGTTTATTTTCATCACATGTCTTACATGATTTGGACATTTCTTTCACATTCTCTACTGAGTAGGGAAGGTTTTTCTTTTTATCTGGTCTATCACACTTTGAAACTAGCTACCTTGTTAGTTACACCAAGCAGTATTCTATGAAATTAATAGTTGGCCACAGACCTTGAAGGCCATATAAGGTTTATCACTGGTCCTGATGGTAGGCACTTTTAAGGTCCAGAGTACTAAAAAGAAAGTTTTTGGCTATTTTCTCTATCATATCGTCTATTCTTCACAAAGAATAGGCATCCAAGTATAGATCATACCTTTACTCATAGATCAACTAAACAGTATTCAAGTATCTTTATGGAAAGAGATGAGCTAGCCATCAACATTGTGTTAAGACACAGGTAAATATTCCATAAATTTAGTTTTGCAATGCTTGTGTTAAGAAAGTTTTCTGTGCTCCCCATGTCAATCAGTTCTTTTAGTGGCTGTTCATTAGCAGTGATTTCCATTGTTGTAGTTGATAACTGGCAAGTATTTTCAATTTTGCTAAAAAAGTTGTCCTGGAAAGAAATAGGTAAGATTTTTACAACTATTGTGTGACAAAGAGGAAGATGGACCTCTGGCCCTGACTTTGGTCAATTGAGAAGGATTAACTTTTAGAAGCAGACAGGTTTCCAGCAGAAAATAGATAAAAGAATGATAATTAAATTTTTTGTCTGCCAAAATGTGATAAAACTTCCCAAAATCAAGGGATTGT